TCTAATTTGGTCAGTGCCCTAAAATAGATCTGATTAATTCCATTCAACTTTTTTTGGGAGGTATGTCTTTTCTGAATTTTTATATAAGAATAAGGGACCTGTACAACATGTTCAGAAGTTACAACTATACTACAAGTGTATTGTGCCATCTTTGAGGAATATGTATCATATGTACAAATATGGTTTTAAAAGTGAATAGTGCCAAACATGAAACAGATTTAGAAGGTGTGTATCTTATAAATCAGAATAGTCGTTTAGTGGAATTGTCCAGGGGGTTACAAAGTGAATAAATTAATTCAGTGTAAAAATTAGATATTACCATATGTTGTCATGTCTGATAACATCAAAGCCTCTTTTGTTTGTATTAAATAAGGGAGATGTTCCAATATAATTACCTCTTGATTTTAAAGTGGCCTGTCCAATTAATCGATAGCCGTCACAAGCAATATCAGCCATGCTGGAAAAGCTAAGGTGAAATCTATTTTGTATCTCAGATATAGGGTATTAACGGCAGAATAGGAATGTGCCATATTTCATACTGAGATAGTTAGATTTCATTCCCCGAGTCCAGCTTTCGTTAACTCAGATTTCTGCGGAGATTTTGGGGCATGGCTGTCATCTTAAATAAATGTTGATGGATCAGATTGCTGTTAGTTTTGGCCTTTACAATTTCCAATTGAGTTTTATTGACCAATTTTATGTGTCAATTTTTCGGAACAATAAACCGCAATGTCGTTGATTTTATTAAATGTGGCCAAGTTTTTAACCCAATGGATCATCCTACAGTTAACAATCAAATAATCGTTGACGGTGGTTAGTGGCATTTATCAGTAGCCAGGTCGTATTATAAACCATTTTCCTAGACAGAATCTTGTTTTGTTCAGCTTTGCATGTTAAGAGGTAGATTTCATGACATTTGTAATGAAATCAACCTCGTTAAGAGCAGAGACTAATTGATTTTAGGGAGCTGAATAGTAATGGCTCAGGAAAGGTTTAAGAGGGAAATACAATTAGTGTAACGGGTGGCCTCATTTTCGCCAATTGTGTTAGATTTGGAGAGAGAAGCCTGAGCCGGAAATAGACATTTTCGTATTTTTCTGTCGATGTTTTAAACATTTCATCCAATACTTCCTCCAATATTGCATTTCAAATAGACGGTAAAGGAAATAGCAACGACAAGGCCAGATTAAGTTATCAGGGTAAAGGTATGCTGTTAAAGTTGTCTTTTACACAGAGTTGCCTGACATTTGTCATGCTATTAAACACAATTGATCCATCAGTCTCTCTGATAATTGGTGCTTCATCCCCGGCTGCTTCAAGTCTTGGCTGCTGACAAGATTAGGTTAGCTGGACTGGTGATGACTAGAGATAGCCTTAGTATTGTCAATAAAACTAGCCATTACCGTCCATCATTACAGGGCTAAAGACAAAGATAAAAACCTGTCAAATCACATTCCATAGTCAGAACAAGATGTGTGTACAAGGTAATTAGTGATCAAAATCCACAGTTACAAACATAACATTTGATCATTTCAAAGTGAACTGTGCATATCGTACATCAGGGACTCTGAGGAGGACATTCAGGGTACCTACACTGTTGTAGAAATTATAGAAATTAATAGACCACTAGCTGTTAGGTATGTGTTGTGGAATGTGTCAGGAAATTATTGAGTGAGGAAAAATCATTCATGGTGAACATTACTAGATTGGTAAATAGAACATTCTGGCTAACAAAGACTAAAAATCACATGCTGCCTACTCTGTGAATTTAATCCTACATATTTCCATTTTGTTTTGTGTTGCCACAACAAAGGTGCAGAAGTGAGATGTAATGTAACTTTTTCATTAACTTTGGTATTTTGTCTTTTACCCAGTGTAAGAAGTTACATTAAGACCAGTTTCTCAATGAGTGTAAGTACTACAGTAGAACTCGTATTTGGGAAAAAACATGAAATCTTGGTGTATTTTGACTCACTACACTATATTATTCACTTTCAATAAACAATACAATCTTTCTTGACTCATTTAGCCATTTAAAAAAAAAAAAAGTTTTTTCTATGTGTCTCACAAGTCGGACAGAGTTATGGGTATCTGATTTGTTGATGGAGTTTATTGCCTCGTGAACAGCCACAGCCATGTTTCAGGAGTTGATATCTAAGTACCTTACTAAAGTTAAGGAATATATTTTCTTATGGTATTTGGAACAACTATTATTGAACTCGAGTAATTTGAAGTCAGTTATCCATTTTACCCAAATTTAATTGTAACTACCCCCTACTATCCCTCAGTAAGCTTAACAAAATAGAAAGGTAATCCTTATATTTACAGTTTTTCTTCATTAACATGCAGTTCAATTTCTACAGTTTCCAAAGATTACAGACACAAAAAAAGAACATAAACATTAATTTTGCTGTAAATATAAGAGCTTGTTCTTCTCATCCTACGACGAGTAATACTGGAATAAAATGTGAAAGGAGCCACAAGCATGAAAGCATGCCTATTGTTCAACATTGACTGTAGACCTGTGAGAATTATATATATGATTGCACTGATGTCCCCTTACATTGACTGCAGACCTGTGAGAATTATATATATAATTGTAGACCTGTGAGAATTATATATATAATTGTACTGATGTCCTCTCACATTGACTGTACACTTGTCATAATGTATAAGACTTTAGACAGTCCCTAACAGTAGTTTAGTTGTCATCTTCAGCCTCCTGATAAATCGTAGGACAGCTTGTCTCTCTGGCTTCCTTCTCCATCTCAGATATTAACAGGAATTAAGATGGCCATGATAATTCTGTCGAGTACAGCTGGAGTTGATGCAGGCTGTCGTGGTCCGTTTCACGCTCCAGGAGATGACCGTTTCATGTTTTATCTTTTGTATGATGTTATCTAAAATATGGAGAATTCGGTTACAGAGAGCTTAGGAATAATGAAAATTAGTCAATTTTTTTATGATTATCTGAGAAAGATCTAGATGTAAATATGAATTGTTGATTGTATTATGTGAAACAGATAATGTTTTACATAAAATATCTGCTGTCAGCATCCTTATTATCACTCATGTCAATTGAACCATTCATAAAAAGATTGTAGACTATTGCTATTCAGAAAGATAGAAAATACAGTCTTTGTAAAGGTGTTACTTTTATTTTAGAATTTAAACTCTGATAGATGAAAGAAGTGTTGTGAATGATATTCAAAGGGCACTTCAGATAGTGTGTTAAAAAATGTACTTATTAACATAAGGTTTTGTTGGATATAGTGATAGACTTCTATACGATCTCATTTGATCCCTTAAAATTTTACAAAAATCAAACGAAAAAAAATCATTGAAAATATAATATTTACAAAAAGAATTATTTTGTGAATGTGGCTTTGATGCTGACTTTGATCAAATTGAGGCTGATTGTCTTTTCTCTTCAGTGTCTGGAAAGAAGTTACATTCCTTCACAAATCCAAGCATGTAGTTTGATTGTATAGTGCCATATAACACGTCAGTAGTCAGCCATGACAGTAGGTACCCAATGACTCTAGGACCCCAGTTCTTTCTTTTTCTTTGGTAATTTTTGTCTCACATTAAACATTCAGGAAACCAAGGCTTAATGTTTTTATTTTTCAGGCAGTGGCATCATCAACATTTCGTTTTTAAATTTTGTGATTAGATATGTTTACAAAATATTGTGCAGTTTTATCTTACAGTAACTCAGAAAATTAAGGTACTAAAAAGATGGATGTTCAAGTGTTATGCTTAGCTCAGTTTCTCATTTAAAACAAACACGCCAATAAAATCTGGAGTATAGTAACATTGTAGTATGGACTTTTGAACATTTTAATGCCCGCCACAAATTTTTAAGCTTGTGTACATGGGTCATACTATGACGATGTGCAGTGATAAAAATACAGGACCTAAGCCTCCCTTATTTACAGAGTTATTGCCCTTTGTTGAAGTATTGTGTCCAGACCACAACTTTAGATCGCTTGCATTTGAAAAAGGATAATGAAATTTGGTGTGTATATCAATCAAACATATACAATATGGAGTATAACAAGTAGAGGGCCCACAGTTTATTAATTACAGAATTATTGCCCTTTTGTTAAAATTTTGCATACGAAGCATAACTTTCCTTGCATTTAAACTAGGAGTTTGAAGCTTGGTCATACTTAGACAATGTATTAGCTTCAGGGCTTCAATCCCTTTATTACAGAGTTATTGCCTTTCTTGAAATTTGATGTCCTTTGCATTACTTTGCTTTCATTTAAACGAGGATAATGAAACTTGGCGTATACAATGGTGATGCTAAGAGATGTAAGGTGTACCAAATCCTAAAGTACAGAAATATTTCCCTTTTATTAAAGTTTTGTGTCCAATAAAGTTGTTTTCCAGGAGAATTTATCAATTTTACTGACTTATGCTCTTTTTTGTATTTATTTGTGCGTCCTTAAGGAAAAACCTACCATTTTGAGAAATGACTACAAAGTCTTGATGGCTTCACATTAGATTGATATTTATAATGAAATAAGTACTGTAAGATATAGTGTTCCTCTTCTTCCTTGAGAAGGCTGTTATTTTTTGGAGGAAAGTGCCATATTTAAGTGACTTTTGAGTATTGTAAATTTTTATTTCATGTTTATTTAAAACTGACAACAACATATCTATGATGTTAATACATCATTAATTAGAATTATCCTTGAAATCTAGTATTTTTGGGTTTTTAGTGTATTACGCAGACTTAAAAATTAGCATTCTGGCAAAGCGGGACAGGTGAGACCTAAAAATACATGTAATATTAGTTATTATTATTTCTTTGTAAACTAAAAATAAAAGTGTGTTTGTGCTACAAAATAAATTTTTCAAATAGATAGATAAATAAGACAACTTGGTTACCTGTTGGTCTTTCATTGAAAGGAAAAATTCATACATTCATTGTGGTACAAATGCATACAGAAATAGACAAAAACATTAATGTGGATTTGATCTCATGTTTGTAGAGTACCTAAGATCTATTTTGGAAGTAGGACCCACAAACAGATAACACAGATTGTACGTGAACTACGCAAGACAGCATACAAGGAAGCTAGGTAAGATGTGCACCCCACATCAGTAGTGTATACATACTGATATATCAAACGTCAACATTAGTGGTCATCACATCGTAAGAAAGGGTGCGGCTTATACGCCAGTTTGTCTTATATGTAAATAGAATTTTAAAAATCGCTAAAAACCAGCAATGCAGCTTATACTTGGATGTGGTTTATAGGCCAGAAAATATGGTACATTGAATAATTATCATTCGAAGAATTCTTTCACCTTTTTTAATTTAGATGATGTGCTATGAAGTTTTGTCATGAATGACATCACCAGGATTACACAGAAAGTTTGATATAACCTGTAACACTATTATTCTTTCATGATCAGAGAACTGATTACAAGTCAATTTAGAATGCATCATGTTCCTGTGGCTCCAACCCCAATCAATTAATTTCGTTTTATAAAAGTAATGATTAAAACACAAAAAGTTTCATATGCATTTCATTCATGCATTGTTCTACTGTATCTAATTTAGAATCTTTATTTAAAGTTGCTGTTCATTTGTGGTGTTGTTTCGTGCAGTCTTAATGGTAGTTATTGTTATTCTCTCACAAGGAAGTTGTTTGGAATATTAACGTTTTGCCTCTGTCAACATTTTAGCAAATTCATAAGTTCTTGCGATGTTTAGAGGTAATGAAATCATTTTACATCAGATTTTAAAATCAGTGTGTGCTTTATGATGCTAAATTTTGTTATAAGTGATGTTTGTAGATCTTCATAGTACATGTATGTATAAAACTTCTTTGTGATATGAGAACTTTTCGTTGTTACCATTACAGAATGACCATATTAGGCAGTAGGGAACATACCTGTATCCACCCATCCGTGTCCAAGATGAAGGGAAAGAATGAAGGCTGTAAGGAACTACTGGATGTAAGTTATCACTATTACAGCTTCACGGTAATTTCTGCATCAAGTTCTTAAGGACTTTAAGTGAAGCTAAGAGGTTACTTTTCCTTCAACAAAATTACAAACAAACTGAAATTATCAAAAGGTTTTGTCTCAAATTTACAACAGCACGAATTTTCATTATAAAGATTCTGGAATTATGATATACATCTACTGATAGTACAAATGAATAAGATCTTCTTTGAATTAAAAAGTTGACATTAATGCAACTGCAGTCCAGTGTGATCATTTTTGTCATTAAGATTACATTTTGTCTTAAAGATTTTTAAAAATTGTCTTAAGAGAGATTTTGTCTTAAAAATAAGATTGTTTTTTGAATGCTTTTTTTTTCTGAAATGCAATTTTGTTTTTTGTAATTTGTCATTAAGATGACATTTTGTCTTTTAGATAAGATTTTCTCTTGACATTAAATTTTGTATTTTAGATGAAACTTTTTTTTTATGCAAACATTTTGTCATTATGACACATTTCATATTCTAGATAACATTTTATCTTAAATGAAATAGATGTTTTTATAATCCCTGAAAATTTTCGGGAGAGCATTTAGTCTCCGCCTTGTTTCATCAAGGTAACATTACATCTTTAATATAATAATTTTTGTGATAGGGCCCAGGCTGTAAGTTTAATGACCGAGTCAAGAAAGTGTTTGCCTGCCAGAGCCAAATCAAAGATCTAGGACTTACAGAGGCTTGGGACCTCGAGGATATCATTGGTGTTGGCCAGGCAAAAACTGTAAGGGCGTATAGCAAACCTTGAAAGACAAGAATTTGGTAATGTTAACATGGTACAAAAATCTACTGAATTTGATACACCAATTAAGTTAATATATTGATAAACTAACAATCACCTACAGGATAAATTTTTAGTGTCTAATATTCTTGATTGAAAAGAATGGAGAAAGTTTTGTTCTTTGATTTACATCATGTTTTTGTTTTTTTATCTAAAAATGTCTTCGACTCGTCTTTTAAAAAAGTGAGAGAAATCAATTAACTGATATATGCTTTCTTTGCAGGCGTGTCCATACTATGGTACCCGTAGTCTGAAGAAGGATGCAGACATCATATTTTGCCCCTACAATTATCTTATAGATCCCATCATAAGGGAGGCTGTAAGTAGTTATAGAGATTCTGGTACAGACACTGTCTCTTAATGGGATAGACTTGGGTATGGGTCGGTATTAATTATAGGTTATATAATAAAAATAATCACAAATATTGAATGTTATTTCGTTTCCATGGATGCAGAAATTATTTACCAAGGAGTTAAATATAAATCAATAACAACTGAATCAATGTCAGTTGATCTGTCCCACCCTGATATCAAACCTGGCTCAATCAACTGGAAACTTGCACAATTTTTCAGTGGAAGGGAGGTAACTGCAAAATTAAGTTCAGCCCAGCATCAAGCCTGATTCCTATTGGACCTGGAAAATATCACATAACAAATACTACATTGTGATTCACACTAGTTTGTACCTGTATTTTTAGATATTGTTTAGGTACAATATTAACACAATAGTAGTAATTGATAAAACATTGTTCAGTTTAATTCACTCACTGATTTTACTTTCATCATATTTCTTTTTCTTCAATCTGTCACGTCATTAATTTTCATGTGGTCTGTGAGTCATTTTTTTGGGGAGTTTTGTTTTTATTGATTTCATTTGTACTCTTTATCCGAGAATTCATATGTGTGAAAATTGATGAAGTGTTTTGAAAATTGACATGAATCTAAAGTGTTGCTGAATGTTGTTGTTACAATTTATTTTTGAGGGCCAGTATCAACGGAATTATAAGTTAAATAATTAAACTTGAAAGTTGTTTTGTAATGTCTCTGTACCAGAAATATTTAGAGTTAATTTGGTAAATGTAATGTAAAAGTTTAGTTCTTAGAATTAGAATATTAATGTTGAGAAATCAACACACAATACATCTATAGATGGTTAGTGATATGAAGGGAATGGTGGCTGGTTTATCTTGCGGCCTATCCCAGTCAGTACTTGCACTATGTGCACAGGTTGTATCTTGTAGCATTGTAAGATGTTTGTCAAACAAAAACTAAACATAAAAAAAGAAAGACAGTATTTCCGGGACTTCTAGAGCTATATCAATACACATTTGTTTCATTTGTCGATATTTGCATTCATGTATTCATCATATAATGAGGGTTTTGTATTGCTCATAAATATCACTTTATTAAACTGAGAGAGGAAAAAAAGATGTTTGTCGTCATTCTTCATTTGTACAATAAGCTGAAAACTATAATGGCACAAAGTTGAACATTTCTTGGAAATGTCTTTATACATCACCTGAAATGAAGTATGCATTTGATTATGTTTCTGTGACTTGTGCACCAAATCAAGAGATATATTTATCTAGGACGAGTCTCCATGATTTTTTAGGGATATTTTGGAAATCATGTTTGAATTAATGAAACAATGTTGTTTTAAGATGGAGATAAATGTGAAGGACCAGATTATCATCCTGGATGAGGCACACAACATGGAGGACGCTGCGCGGGAGGCTGCCAGTCAGACCATTAAATGTGACGAGCTGGAGAGAGTGGTGAAGGAATTGGATGAAATGAGTATGTGTGATTGGGAAGAAGGTTTAAAATGAAAAATCTGATTACAACTCCATTTGGTAACACATGGTTCCATAGAGACTTTAATATATTAAAACCCTAATAATATTGTAAATTTTATGTCTTCTTCGGTACTAAAGGTTTGTATGCTTGTTTTCATTCTGTTATTATGTTACATTAGATTCGTATCAGTCACTTTTATATTTACTGGTAACTACATACAAACACTTCTTTATTTATTGAATGTTCAGTATATACCAAAAATAGGTCACTTATCATGAATGTTTTTTGATACACAGTTGTTAGACCTTTCTGATATCTAAGAAGCTCCAGAGGTGCCTTGCAATACTTTGTCTTTTGTTTTGTAGTTTCCTATAACCTGAAGACACCAGAACACTTGAGAATCAGACAGGCAGTAAGTGCTAATTTTCTTCTTGTAGTAGGTTAACAAGTCCTAAACTGTATTGGAAATGAAATGTGTGGGAATACAGTTAAATATGAAATAGCCATATATAGCTGACAAACATACCTGATAAGTAATGTCAATTTGTAGTCAAATCTAGGATTAATCTCTATTGACTAGATATATTCTGTGTAACAGTTTAGAAGATTGATTTAATGAGTTTATGTTCGCTGTTACATGTATCTTAACTTTGCTTGTAAATGTTTCCTGTTTATTTCTAGTTTAAAAATTTTATTATTTTAGTTTAAAGTTCCTAGGTAACGACCTGATCCAGTGTTTGTCCTGTGTTTCAGTGCAGTGGTCTTATCAAGTTCATGGAGGACAATGAGGCTAGTCTAGAACAGCAGTCTTATGACCAGGCATATCGATGTTGGTACGGGTACGACATTGTAGTTCGCATGGAGCAGCTGGGGATAGGGCCGAAACACTATCCCGAAATCAAAGTAATTGTCAAGGTTTTATGATGCAGTTAGGTTGGAAGTTTTCTGGTATGCCAAGTGATAAAGTATTAAAAAAAAAGATAAAAACAATATTAACATATTTTCATGAAAGTTGGAAAAAAAATGTTCCTGGCAACATTAAAACGTATATAGAATCAAGTGTAATCCAGTGTATATATCTGGTATAGCAGGTTTATATAGGATGTTAGCATTTGTCTGTTGGTGAAGCTTCCTACTTGTTAATGAAGATATTACCCTTGTTGTAATAACTGACAGTAGTGAACGTAGGAAAATTGGTCTGTTTATTCACAGACATTATATGTCTATATTCTAGACATTATATATTTAAATTTTAGATGTCTAATGTTTGTTTATGTTCTGGATGTTTTTCGTCTGTTTGAGATCTTGACATCCAATGTTTGTTTATGTTCTAGATGTTTTTCGTCTGTTTGAGATCTAAACATCCAATATTTTTTATGTTCTAGATGTACTTAATCTGTTTGTAATCTAGACGCCCTTTGTCTGTTTGTGATCAAGATGTCTTGTGTGTTTTTGTGTTTTTTAGATGGTCAGTGTCTAACGATGTTTTAAGCATCTGAGGTCTGTTTGTGTTCTAGGTTTCCTTTGTTCATATTCTAGATGTTGCATTCCTGTTTGTGTTTCAGATGTCCTGTGTCTGTCTGTGTTCTAGACAACCAGTTTATGTTTGTGTTTTTTGATGTCCTGTAATTTTGTTGCCAAAAAGAGACATCATAGGTTTGTCTTCTAGAAGTTATATATCCGTTTTTGTTCTAGACATTTTTTGTCAGTGTGTATTCTAAGCATTCTTAGTGTATATGTATTTTTTATCTGCTTTGTATGTCTGTGTTTTATACATCACATGTCTGTGTTTTATACATCACATGTCTGTGTTTGATACATCACATGTCTGTGTTTTATACATCACATGTCTGTGTTTTATACATCACATGTCTGTGTTTTATACATCACATGTCTGTGTTTTATACATCACATGTCTGTGTTTGATACATCACATGTCTGTGTTTTATACATCACATGTCTGTTGTCTGTGTTTTATACATCACATGTCTGTGTTTGATACATCACATGTCTGTGTTTTATACATCACATGTCTGTGTTTTATACATCACATGTCTGTGTTTTATACATCACATGTCTGTGTTTGATACATCACATGTCTGTGTTTTATACATCACATTTCTGTGTTTTAGACATCACATGTCTGTTGTCTGTGTTTTATACATCACATGTCTGTGTTTTATACATCACATGTCTGTGTTTTATACATCACATGTCTGTGTTTGATACATCACATGTCTGTGTTTTAGACATCACATGTCTGTTGTCTGTGTTTTATACATCACATGTCTGTGTTTGATACATCACATGTGATACATCACATGTCTGTGTTTGATACATCACATGTCTGTGTTTTATACATCACATTTCTGTGTTTTAGACATCACATGTTTGTGTTTTAGACATCGCATGTCTGTGTTTTATACATCAAATGTCTGTCTTTTATACATCACATGTCTGTGTTTTATACATCACATGTCTGGTGCTTTATGAACTCTAAAGGGATGCCCATAGATATGTACCTGATTACAGGTGAATTGTTGACACTAGGGGTCAACACCAGGTATTTGACTACATGGATTCATCTGATGGGCCATTGGCCAAATGAAATGGAATGAACTTGGACATGACTACCAAAGTGACCTTTATTATGGTCAGTTGAAATGAATACTCTGGACCTGAGGTAAACAATTAGATATTACTGATCCAGAATTAATGCAATCAGGCTAGCAACTTCATTTCTTTAGGGATGTGGTTACAACATTGTAAGTACAATAGTACTTTGGATGCCATTGTTTGTTACTATTTATAGAAATTCATCAACCGATTCAGTGACATCACACCAATTTAAATGGAAGGAAAGTTAATTAATCTTTACAAAAAGGTCATCTGTATGAATACCATGTTTGACAGTGTTTAAAGTTTCCTGTTTCTCTGAATCATCCAAAAAATAAGATAACATATGAGAAGGGAAGTAACTCTGTCCTGTCTCGGCTTACTTACTCATGTCTAGCTATTTCAGGGCTTCAAGTTGTTAGCTTTTACATCATATAAATCTTTCTATTGCAGAGTTGCCATTGTTAAAACAACTTCTTATGTATCTAACAGAGACACAGTAAGTGCATGTTAATAACAGCAGTGTTTTCAATAGTTTCCAGAACTTAAATATAACAAAAGATATTACCGGTAATAGTCTCAGAATAACACAGTTAATTGTAAATTTCAATGGATACCAACCTGTAGATTGTTCTTTGGTTGTTACATTGTTTGTGTATTGCTGTAAATTATCAATTTCCATCAGGGGTTTATTTTCATTGATTTGGTGGATACTGTTATCCATGTACTCATGAACTGTTAGTATCAGTATAAATTGATTTATAGAGCTATATTTATCTATGAAATTTCCACGGAAAAGTGATTTTAAAAAAAAAACTGGAAAACGAGCTGCTCGAACATATATGTCTATACAGGAAGTTAAAGGTATCATTGATTCATGGACTACTTTGACACTCACAAACTTTTCATATACTCTTAACTTTGATAATGTTTTACTTAACACTGGCACCTGTAGTTTAGAATTTTCTCACAATCAAACTACAACTTTTTATGCATTTCTTTTTACAGGACAACAGCTGGCTTAGCGCGAAAAAAAAGAGAGGAGGTGAGTTTTTCTTCAATGATGTTGGCATCATGAACAAAATTACCTTTTTTTTTTTTTTTTTTTTGAAAAGTCATTATTATGCTTTTTAAGTAAATAAAAAAAAAAGAATGTTGCGGTAAGTTTTCCACAGTTAGGGACAGGTAATTAATTCAAATTAGGGTATGTATCTATGACCAATTGAGGAGTTTATCTTGTAATGTTACCTGGAGCAATTGAATTTTTGTTACATTTTACTGAAGAGATGACGTGTTTGTTTCCCTGATAGGTATGCGGGCAACGCCTGTTACTGTGAACAGTCTCAACTTCTGGTGCATGAACCCTGGTGTGGTGAGGTCTTAAAAAATCTCCTGAAATAGACATACTAGACTTGAATTGCTTTTTGCAACAATGATAAAATGTGTATATTAATCTAGTTTATAGATGATATATAGCGAGGATCACATGTTCTATCTCTGAGCATAAATGCTGTAGACCTATTCTTTAGGTATAGATTTTAAGTCTTACAATCTTGCTATAATTATATCATCTGATTTGTTACATAAAGCACACAATCTTTCTATAATCATTTTGTAAGCTTTGTTTTTGACATGACATTCCATCATTCCAGGCATTCTCAGATTTTAAGGATACACGGAACATTGTCCTAACCAGTGGAACTCTCTCTCCAATGTCGTCATTCGAGTCAGAGTTGGGGGTACCGTTCCCAATAAAACTGGAGGCCAACCACGTCATAGAAGATAAGCAGGTATCATTTAACGGGATTTTAAACATATAGCATTGTCATTGCTCAAAATGACACAGACTAGATACAGACTAAAGGAAGATACCATACCCAAATGAACATGCAAAGTCTTGGTGTAATATTGACATCCATTCCATTGTGTCTTATTAGGTGATGATGTAATTTTCTGTTTGGTATGAAAACCTTATAGTAGAGTTAGAATATTATTTAATATGTTTAAGAAATGAGGACTCTTTCTGATGATTTTTGGGTCAGTTAAAAAAACAAATGGCTTAGATAATTTTCAATGGGACCATGATTTCCAGGTTTGGGTAGGAGCTATTAGCCATGGACCAAAAGGTGGATCCCTGCAGGCAGTCTACAAAACTATGGAAACCTTTAACTTCCAGGATGAACTCGGAGAACTGGTGCTCAAAGTCTGTCAGGTAGGCTATACTATCATCATGGAAACCATCACACCTTGTCATATTGTCTACAGTGATATATATAAATCATGTCTTTCAGATATAGATTTGTTACTGTCCCAGCTGACCACCAGAGAATGTTTTAATGGTTTCTACAGGAATAGTGAAATATGGGAATTCTGTTGATTAAAATAAAACACTTTTCCTATTTATCAAAAGAAATATTTATATTTAAACCTATGTAACATGAAAAATCAAGTTTTTTTAGAAGTGACATTACACATGTCACATCTGGTCAATTTTAAAACTGATTTGTGGCGAGTTCTTATGATAATATTTTAATCCCAAACTTGATGAGGAAATAAAGACAATAATTGGCAGTTTTAGTGTGAGTCATCTTACCTTTTTGATAGATTATGTTTAAATTAGGTTACTGCTCTGTAAGGGTTACACAGGTTTAATTTATCTATTGTTGAGATGTCCATACTCCAAGCTAGTAACAAACCATTGTGTGTGTTCACAGAAAGTCCCACATGGAGTTCTAATCTTCCTGCCTTCGTACAAAGCTCTGCAGAAGTTCTCAGAGAGGTGGAAGGTTTGTACTTCACTGTTTTCTAAATATGACTTACTACCAGCCAGTACTTTATGTTTGGGTAATTGTAGGATTTTGAACGTCAGATATGTATATAGTAATATAATATGCCTGGATGAAAATATCATGCCTCTCAATCAGGTTTCTGAGAAATATGAAAAATATCATTTCATGTAACCAGTGATAATCATATCATGTTGTAATTTTATTACAGAATACTGGGTTATGGGCAAAAATTGAAAGAAAAAAGAAGATATTAAGTGAACCTCGTGCATCAGACAAAGTTGATTTTGAGTCCCTGATGAAGAATTTCTACGATACGATAGACTGCTGTCATGATGAGGATGGTAGGTGGCGACGCACACTGTTAATACAATATGTTGTTTAAGAGAAAACAATGTAAAAGAACCAACACTCTATATGTCTCAGATTGCAGCTAGGTTCCTGGATGGCTACCAGAGGTGTTCTGTAGAGTTCCTTACAATGTGGTCAACATAATGAGAATATAAAGGATTCTCCTGATGACGGCCGCATAGCGGTCGAAACATGTCGACGAATTAGTCTACAATAAAACTACAACAAGTGTTCCTGAATGTTGAGAATCCTTTATTTTCGGTTTAATATGCAGTTTAAGGATGCTGTCTACAGGTCTGAAATGGGAAATATTTCCAATATAGAACCTTCGACCTGTAGATAGTTTTGAAAATTTGAATTTAAACTAGCTTATCATCAAAGTTTACACTAAAGATATTTTTGTATGGAGTTTATGTTACCAGCTATGTTTTGATTTGTGGACTTTAAGAATTGGGAATGAGAAGATAGTCTGTCAATATTGATAGTATCAACAGAATGGAAATCACAAAACATTTTACTTCGGCTTACCTTGAAAATGTGTTTGTTGGAATTAGCAATAGAAAATGTTTACTCAGGAAAGGGGTGGGGTTACACATGTATACATATTGTGATCATGTGTGGAGTGTTGAGGAGGGTTAGAAGAAAAAGGCTGAAATTGACATTATAAAAGATGATCAATGCGCTGAAAAATCTGACTTTTCAGTGAAACGATCGTCTTTCATAAAGTTCTTTTAGGCATCTTCTGAATTATGTTTACACAAAATATGAATGTTAAACAAATGATGTTCAATTGTACTGGAAAATCTGTTCAGTTCCTCTAAAATCTGTAGGTGAATTTGTACAATCTGCTGTAGCTATCTGAGAAAATCCATAAAAACCGTAATTGGCTTACAAGATTTTTCTAACGAATTGATGTACTACCATTCATTATCTGGTCAACTTCAATCTTCCATTTCCTCTTTCTTTGACAGAGGGAGACATTGATGGGGCACTATTCATGGCTGTGTGTCGTGGGAAAGTCAGCGAGGGACTCGACTTTGCTGACAATAATGCCAGAGCTGTGATCACGGTTTGTATTAAATAGATTAAAAACCATTTTATTTGAAAAAAATCAATGTACCTGTGTTTGAGATAGTGAATTATCTTAACCATAGTGCACAAACATACAATGATGAATTAGGGAGAAGGGTTAAAGTTTTAGAGGGATTAAAGTAATCACTCTTTAGGTATGCAATGAAAAGATTGTGTTCAGTCATGAACTCGTTAACAGATTGATATCAGAGTATTATAATGTCTTGTTCTGCACCTGATTTAATCAAAATTGACATAATTCTGAGTAAAAGGGTCAAAGGTTGAACTGGGCTAGTTTTGATTTAAGGAGCGCTTCATGTGCTATGATAACATATCTCTTGAACACCTCCCACAGATTAGTGTTATATTTTACATTATGATGGAGCGATATTAACTTGTACAAATTAAACTTTTTCATTTTAGTGGGTAAACTAGTTTCTTTGGCTCTTTAACTGTAACATTTCAGGCAAGCGTAATATTTCATACAAGATGGACCTGAAAGATTACATCAGTCCTTGATAAACTTTAATCAAGATTTATAAAAAAAAAAGTAACATCAGTAGATCAATCCTTATTATGTAAACAAACAACAGTGGTCCACTCTGTCAAACCAAATGAACAAAATCGGCCCGGATAAAGATTTAGATAAATATTGGTTACTGTTAAGGTGACATATGAGAATCTCAAATTTGCTGTTGTGAGTCTCACAAGCAAAAATTTCCTCAGCTGATATCTCCTCAAAAACGGCTTGTATAAAATTTTCTCAAGGAACAGGATGAAGTCATCGGAGAGGATGTCATGAAATTCCTTGTGGAATTTTCATACAAGATATTTTCAAGGAGATATTTTCAAGGAGATATTTTCAAGGAGATATTAGCTGAGAAAAATCTCGACTTGAGGAAATCTCAAGTTGAGATGTTTTATACAAGTGGGGTCTGATTCATATAGTGCTTTCTAGCATGCCAAACTTAACATACTTATAGATGAATAAAATTTTGGTCTGTCACCAAGTAACAGTCAAAAACTTGAGGAATGTACTGGCAACAGCCATTGCAAGAATTTTGACAGAGAAATAATTATACCAACACTTTCTCTCACTTGACTACATGCCATATGTTTATTCATCAAATTATGAATTCCATATCATTTAATTTGGCAGATTTTCAGCATTAATATCTTACCTAGCCTACAATTTTTTTTATTTTTTTGCCATAATTGCAGTGAAAGTTACCCAATCAATAAGTTAAATCACAGGAGAGATTTGTATCTGAATGTTTATTGTAAATGTTTGTTTTATTTATATGACATTGATGTGACTTTTATGTCCTAATATCTGCTTTTTCAGGTCGGGATACCTTTCCCAAATATAAAAGATGTTCAGGTAGTGTACACTTTGTATTTCGTTAATGTTAAGTCAACTGTTAATGAATATCTTATTTCTTAATGTTGTTTATTTAATGTGTTGATTTACATAGTCATCAAATAGATAAAACAATTTTCTGGATATAAGCCAGAAATGTATGTATGTGTAAGGCCACACACAAACAAATAACATGATACATGTCAGTTGGATCATATTTTCTGAGAAAGATGAAAAATGCTGAGAAATCTTGATTTTACAAAAGCTTAATATCTAACCATGGTAATCACCACAAATAGGGTCTCTGCTCCCAGCAGTAAATGTTGTTTGGTAGAATAAAACTAAACCCAGATTTACTTTTTGTTTGGCTAAGACTTATTTTGATTCTACTTAAAAATTGTCTTGATTATTATGATGTCATCTTCAGTCTTCATTTTACAACAATCTGTTGATTTTCCTGTTTTAGGTGAAGTTAAAGAAAGAGTATAATGACATGCATAAGAACACACGAGGATTGTTGTCAGGAGGAGAATGGTATGAGATCCAAGCTTTCAGGGCACTGAACCAAGCCCTCGGTCGCTGTATCAGACACAGGTAAGTTAGACTCTGGGCTGCAGTAACAGGCATAGGTAAGTCAGATCCTGCAGGGGGTGGTTATATCAAACATACATAAGTTAGACATTGGTTCGCATTTACAGACACAGGTAAGTGAGACCATGGGTCACTGTAAAAGACACAGAAAAGATATACCCTGGGTCACTATGCAAGGCCCAATTAAGACCCTGAGTCACAGTTTCAGACATAGGAAAGACCACTATCAAACACAGGTAAGTCAGAGCCTAGGTCACAGTCAGACACAGGTAAGTCACACCCTAGGTCACTGTCAGACACAGGTAAGACCGAGTCTGGGTCACTGTCAGACACAGGTAAGACAGAGCCTGGGTCACTGTAACAGACACAGGTAAGTCAGAGCCTAGGTCACTGTCAGACACAGGTAAGACAGAGCCTGGGTCACTGTCAGACACAGGTAAGATTTCCAGAGGTACTATATATCAGACACAGGTGAAATTAAGTGCCTGGGTCACTGTCAGACACAGGTAAGAGACACAGGAAAGACAGAGCTTAGGTCACTGTCAGACACAGGTAAGACAGGTGGTCTTACAAAATTAAGTGTTAAAACAATTTCCAGTACATATATCCATGAAATTATATTTATTTTTTGAGATCCACCAAATTGATGTTCCACGAAAATATGATTTGACATTTAGTAACTGGAAATACCTTTTTTGGATTTGCTTACTCACCATAACTGTTGCTCTGTGTTGTATAGGAAGGACTGGGGAGCACTTATCTTGGCAGACGAGCGATTTGTAAGAGACAGTCCCAGGTATTGTAAAGGTGAGATTCCATCGTTGGGAGGTGGTTTTATTACAGCAGTGGACTTTTATAGTGTTGGTGTTTTATGATGCTGCCAAAGAATGTCACTTAATATTGAAAGGAGGTCAATTACTATCAACAACAGCTGTTGAATACTCTATCATAATAATATTTTGGAAAAAAATACAATGCACAATACACATTTAAGTTGAAAAAAAAATGGATGCTGGTGTTTTTTCAAGTGTAGTATTGAAATGAGTACATTTTACTTTGTAAAACCATATTTTTACATACTCTTTTGATGGGGTTGAGGGCCATATGCATTTAAAGTGTTTAAACTATTTGCATCGGTCATGTCATATTCATTCAAGAATCAGTGTCATTTCTTGAGAACCTCACAACAGAGATGATTCATATTAACCCCACACTAACATAACAGTAAGTTTTACACCTAATCATATTGTGATGGTCAGCAGTCCAGATTAGATGGTCAGTCGCTATTTTCAACATCTTCTTCACACAATAACACAAATAGTATGCGTGGAACTGTGTGCATTCATATCTTACAGAGATTTTCTAGTTTCTGCAACTTTTTAATTAATATTTGATAAACAGCAATTGTTTCACTAAAATATTCAAACAACAAACCCAGGAGACTTGACAGCTGATTGCTGTTGACCACAGTATTCCATATAACTAAGAAGGCAGCCTTTATTTTGTCCAGGTCTCTCTAAGTGGATGAGAAACAAGGTGCGACCATACCAGGGATTCTACACTGCAATGGATTCCCTCACCACCTTTACGGAGACCTGCATCAAAGACATGCCTAAAGTGGAGTGAGTTGAATAATACAGGTGTACTAATAGACCATGTTGTAGTAACTTAGTAAACAATAGTTTCTCCTATTGACAGATCTCCTTCACATTTGCACAGCTTTATGATCATATCAGGTATTTGTGCGTTCTGAAGCAGAAAGGTGTTGTTTTAAATACAAACTATAGATTTTTTCTTCTGACATGAATTTCAGCATTCACTTTTTAAGACACTGTGCAATTTGTAGCCATAAACAGTACATGTCGGCTGTCACCTTGCTAGACTGTTTATAGCCTGGACCAAATTTTACACCACAAAGAGACCCAATAACACACATATAACTCCGCAGAAAGGATGTAAAATGTTTTTGGAAATAAATTCAGGAAGTAGTTGATGCAGTTATTTTATAAATACAAGTATATAAGATAAAAAAGTAAACACGAAATGTTATAAGATATCGTGTTTTAAATGACAACTTGGAATTATCTCATGCAGATATTACTATGCTTCTTTCCTGTTTGAAAGAAATATCGTCAACACTGTATGAAGTTTTGTAGTTTCTTATACACTAGTTACTTTGCAATAAGTTCTTAATTCCAAGACATAACTAAAAAGATGTTAAAATATTTTGGATATTTGAAAGGGTAACTGATTTTCAAAATTTTAGTTTCATTTTCAATAGGCCGCCCAGCACTGACTTCTGAGATCAGGTTTCTAACATGACTTATCAAATAGACAGTGAGAATACTTTTCATTTTAGAAAAATTATATATAGGATAACAATGAATTGATTGAAAAGATTGTGAAAACTTTAATGTGAAACAACACTGTCTAAACCACGGACGAGAAAACAATCGAGAGAGTGAAAGATATATTACTCTACATAGATGCAAACAAAGAAGTATTGATTACATCATTGAATTGCGTTAATTAAAATTAGTAATTATTTTGATATTGGGAACTGATCTGAAAACGTGTTACTGTTTTGTCAATGGTTATATAGCCCTAATTATAAATTTACAGCCTAGAACGAAGAGCATGTTTAAACACTTGGACAGCTAATAGGGCTAATATGATTTTTTCTTATATCATGTTATATCTGCCTTGTAAATAGAGTATATTCTACACATTCTTGTGATAATTTCATATATGTACAGTCAAGAACAAGGCTTTATCAACTCATTTCCTGTTGAAATGAAACCTAATGTGCAATCGTTGATTGTATCTGAAAAATGAAGGCGTGATTGGTTGATATTTTGACTCATGTCACGGATTTTGATGCATTAATGAATATGTACAGATGTAATTGGAGAAGTCATGAAAAACACAGCTGCTAGCTACTGGGGCTTGAATTAAGTCTATAACTGGTATTCTTATTTCTGGTTTACACCTCCGCCAATACTAATGATTCTGGTAGACTATAGTGATGCTTTGGTCTGTAGCCAGACACTCTACCTCTAGACTAAAGAGAAATCCCTATTAGCTAAGACTAGAGAGGTGACCATGTCTGCCCTCAACCTCTACAACCTCTGGTATCAGTAGGACTCATCAGTATAAAATATAAACTTTGTATTTCAGAAATAATAATGTGCAGTACTAAAACAAGCTATGAACTGATGAAATGTTATTGGTTACATTTGTGTAAGATAATTTAAAAGAATAAAAAAAACCAGTTAATTTGATAAACAAGCAAGTAACTGATTGGTTCCTAGCCAGTTATAATAACTGATCATCGATGTCGAAATCTCAGCCCAGCTCCATGAACACAAGAATCCTTGAGTAGTCTGTAACGATGCACTATACTGCAAAAGGTGCAGATTTCAGAGTTACACTTTACCGAACATGATCAGTTATTACCTCTCCAATCACACTCATCCATCATATGAAGATCTTATGACTATATGTCTTGAACCTTCATTTAATATGTAAATAACCATTGAGACCAATCTCCCAAGTCTATATACCATTCCATATTGATATATCAGTTCCTTTAGTTCATTATACACCATACACTATGAGTGTCCTTGACACTTTATGATTTTTTTTTGTTTTAAAATATTTCATTAGTTTTTGTTGTCAGTGTTTTTTCTTGAAAATTTTGTCATCTCTATGAGTTGCAAGATGCCTTGTGTATGATTTTGTCACTTAAAATTGACAGTATCTTTACCTTTTCAGTCCAAATATGTCCTTCATACCAGGGACACCGGTCACTCCTGGTCATCCTTCTGATGTGTCCCAGATCATTATGTCCCCAGTGACCTCCACACCCATATCAAAACCAATTGTTAAGCCAAAGAAGAACTTTTCAATTTTTACACCAATCAAATCAGGCAAAGGAGCTGCCCACCAATCCAATCAAAGCTTACAAAGCACCAATCAAGAGCAATATAAGTTGCTTTCACCAACTGAAGTCAAAGGTGATGCAACACTTAGGAAGGCTTCAGAGAGTCAGCAAGTCATAAAGGCCCCAGGTAAGGGTCAAAGTTCAACAACTGTCGCACCTACAGTTGCCATGCAAGGCTCTGTACTGGGACCAGCTTATGAACAAATTCTCAAATTATTAAATTCTAAATTGTTACCGCAAGATAAACCCTATTACGTCATGATGAATGAAGGCACTCCCACGCAACAGATGTTTCTCATCCAGCCTCCAGACAACCCTGATAATAAACAGGACTTATCAGATCAAAATGTAGGGACGATCATGTCAACACCAGTCACACCTCACAGAAGTGGTGATACGAAAAAACAAGCCTCGACCTTACCAATACAGACAGGCATGAAAAATATTCTTCCCAAACGACTTTCAGAAGTCCAGGGTAAAAGTCAGGTCTCTGAATCAGCAAAATTGTCTAATGTTAACTCAAATTCTGGAAGCTCAACAGTTGTTACATCCAATCACAATAGTTCTAGCTTCAATCAGTCTGGTGATAAAGTGTCTGACAAAAGTGAGAGTGAAATCAGTGGAAACAATGAAGATTCAAAAACTAAAAAATTCTTTCAGTTTTGTAAATTGCCAGGAAAGTCATTTGAAAGTGTGAAAAAATCTGAGCAATGTTCGAATATTTCTTCTGATCGACCAACAACTCCTGACATGTTTGATGCTGACACACTGGAGGATACAAAGAACAACAGTGTTCAGGCTGATGAGGACAAATCTATAAATAAATCTGTCAAAGACACTGTGAAATTAGACAAGACACAAGATAATGATGTGAAGATGAAATCTGTAGTGCGAAAGCCGATTTTTCGAAAAACGAAAGACATTGAATCTGAAGCAAAGCAGTGGAAAATCGAGGAGGATTCCAGTGACAATGACTTTCAGGTGAAACGGAGGTCTGTGTCAGGAAATAGTGACTTGGATTGTCAGGTTAATAGGTGTAAGGAGGAGGAGGAAGAGGAGGAGAAACCACTTAAGATCAGGAGACGAGGTACAAAACGCAAAAATCATAACCGACCCAACACTATTTACAGTAAACGCTCCAAAGGAGTCAACTTCCTCGACAGTACGGACAGCTCTAAAGAAAACAAAGTAAGAAGACTCCTCACACAATATTAAACTATAAAATCCTGTTATAGTGAAGTTTTAATGTCTCTGTTACAGATCAATGAAAGCTGAGAACATGTTCAGGGTAATTACAGTGTAATTCTTACAGTATTAGTTACACAATGTCAATGTTGGAGACCTTTTCCTCATCCATTGATGATATTCTTGCTGTTTCAGCCTTCTGATCACACCAGTTTGTCATGTGCCAAGTGTGGAACAGACCTCATTCCAAACCTCCAAGGTTGGTGATGTCCAAGGCCTTTTTTATCATTTACCACATATAACACAACCCTTGTCAAGGGACAGATGGCATTTATATACACATTAGATATAATTATGGAAGGAACCTAGCATATGTATATAGGATTGTGAATAACATTTAATGTCAACATCAATGTGATCAAATGTCCATTATTTTATAAAATGAGAATTTTTTTGTCATCAAATGAATTTTCCACAATATTTATTGAAAGCGTTCTTCAAAAATTTATAGACATTGAAAATTAAGTTTGTATCTGTTGAATGAACCTCCTTCTGTACCAGTAAGAATTGATGTCTGTAAATTTTTGTCTTCATCAGCATTATCTTGGAAATCTGAAAATCACTCGGACTCAATTTATCCATTTCATAAAGGATTGATTGGAGTAACAATTCTTTCCTGTAGTATTTACTGGGGGAACTAATGTCACTGATACATTTCTTCATTTTTACATAAACCATAGTATTTGGTATCTTTGACAGATTATGAGAAGAGATGGCAAACTCCTTCCTTCCTCAAAAATGTGTCACATCAGAAGAATGTAGAATATATCTACACTATGGTTACCAAACCTGACCAGTTTTCACCTGTGGAGGTCAATGTAGCAGGTTAATATGAAGCATTATTTACATCTTATGTCTTATCATACTGCATGTTTGGGAATATCTTGGAATACATAATTGATATCCACTAGAAAAAATGCCTTTCGCAACTAACTATTGGTAATAGATCTTAAAAATTATCAATTTTTATGATCCAAAGTCGCTTTCAAGTAAGGGGTTGAAACAGTTGGACTGACTGAACCTGCAAGAGAATTGTCAGGTACAGATTGGAACCGAGGCTGGGCAGCCGAATACTGAAGAATTTCAGCATAAGCAGGGTAGATGGATGCATATATATAAGGAAAAGGGTAGATGGATGCATATATATAAGGAAAAGGGTAGATGGATGCATATATATAAGGAAAAGGGTAGATGGATGCATATATATAAGGAAAAGGGTAGATGGATGCATATATATAAGGAAAAGGGTAGATGGATGCATATATATAAGGAAAAGGGTAGATGGATGCATATATATAAGGAAAAGGGTAGATGGATGCATATATATAAGGAAAAGGGTAGATGGATGCATATATATAAGGAAAAGGGTAGATGGATGCATATATATAAGGAAAAGGGTAGATGGATGCATATATATAAGGAAAAGGGTAGATGGATGCATATATATAAGGAAAAGGGTAGATGGATGCATATATATAAGGAAAAGGGTAGATGGATGCATATATATAAGGAAAAGGGTAGATGGATGCATATATATAAGGAAAAGGGTAGATGGATGCATATATATAAGGAAATGTTACGCTTTTAAGTTGAAGTTGGGTGATATTTAATTTTGTTTGATTGTTTTGTGTTTTACAGGAAATTCCAAAAACATTTCATTTTGACCTTTACATATGTAATTTCCAACCTCGCGTACAAGTGTGCTTTTTTATCATGGAATAATGACGACCTGCCAGAATTGTTCCCACCGAGTTACGCCAAATCTCATGTCAACGATGATCCTAGAAGATTACGATTCATTTGTTACAGTTGCAATTAAAAACCTAACCATCAAGTAGATATAAATTGACTGATCAGAACAGCACAACAGTATGATATAACAGTTACCTGTAATCAGGAAAGGTATTTCAGAACAAAGCCAGGAAATACATGTATTATTGTCCTATGTAGGTGTCACAGTGAATTCCACCTGGTCGGGCGAGACAGGATGCTGTGTACAATTCCTACGCTGCCAGGGCTGCTGTAGAAGAACAAACAGAAGTGAAAATGTGGAAATAATTGGTGCCCGTGTTGTCTGTATATCCCAGGACAACAAATTGTACAGTGTAGGACAGGTATTGTAAAAAAACACCTGTAAAAATTTCTCAAATGTATTGTATTCCATGGCACAGATAGATGCTTTTGCTCTTTCTAAGCTCGCAGATTCTACATGTTATGTATTTATTTCATATTAAAAATTATCCCTTGTGCAGATTTGTCATCAAAAATGTAAGAATGACTTTGGCACAAACCGAACTTCAAGGACATTAAGTGAAATACTTGCTGGTCATCAGTGATTGTAGATCTATCACTAACAGCTAGCGGTCATTATGGCTCTTTGTTCAGATTCTCCTGTAGATACTTAATTTGGAATGAGGACGAGTTTTGTTCATATTAATATTTTATGCAATAAAAGTATGTGTTAAAATTTGTTCTCTGCCATGTCCATACCTCATTATGGAATGAATTGGAATGCATGTAATGTTCAACTTACCTTGATTGATGGGCAAACCAATTAAAGAAAATAAATATGACTATACACACTGAAGATAATTCAGTATTAATAACAGCTGTACCTGTTTTATCAAAACTTATTTCATTTCTGTGTTCCAACAGATTGTTTGGACATGTTTGAGCTTGTTTATTGATAAATTGCTCTCAATGAAACTATTTATATATGACAGAATTGGAAATTATAAGAAATTTCCATAAGAACAAAACTAGAAAATAGATATTCACAGTATGTTAATTTATAAGTTAATTAATTAGTGATAATTCATAGTCACTACAACAACTGGTCACGTGTTATTTTGTTGTTTCAGACATGGCTACTCTCAGCAGAGATAAAGATCAAGGCAGGATGAAAGGCAGCTACATGTTCATGTTTTCTGAAGATACATTAATTTTATCAACAGAGAAAAATATTACAGTTGAAAGTTAGACTGAAGGGAAAATATTCCCTTGATGTAGCAGATGTAATGAAATATCTCTGACAAGGACTTGTTAATGCATGCTTACTGATAATTTTCATCTGAAACTATCACAATGACAAAAATTACAGTTGTCTGTATAATTGTTTTAATTGTACATTTGTGTACATGCAGAGATGAAATAAAAGCGACTAGTGCTAAATTAAAGTTGTGTAATACTTTAATTTTTTTAAAAAAAATTGATGTGTTAAAATAAATCAGTCCACATAGAATTAAGCTTTCACAAGATACAGAAAAAAGAAAATGTAAGTTTTCTCAAATTGCTAAAATTTCTACCAGCTAATGAAATACAAAGTACACAGAGGACAATTTATTTTGATATCTATGAATGTCAACACTGTTCTGGTTCTTTTTGTGGACTTACCTCTGTTTCCAAAAAATTATGGTACATCATGCAAAATATCAATCTGAAGGTTTGGAAGAACTTCAGAATAGGGGATTATAACATGAACTGTGTGTAGATTATATTTATACAGTTCTATCCCGGATAAATTCTTCTGTTTGGTCATTTGTGTTCAGGGGGAAAAAAAACATCAGTGTGTGCAACTTTAAAAAATATATTAACCCCTATGAAGTATCCTATCTCTGGCTCATATTTTCAAAGTCTACCATGTTTGCTTCAACTTTTTTGGTTCCTTTCCATCTTTTAGCCCACCATCATCTGATGGTGATATATTCAATTTGCCTTATGTCCATGGTACATCTATCCGTACCACTATTTCTAGAGAAGTACTGGATTGATCTCTCTAAAATTTCATATGTAGGTTCCCCTTAGATCCTAGTTGTTCCCAGTTGATTTTGGGTCTGATCAGAAAAAAGAAATGGCCCCAACAGGTGGCCATCTTGGATTTTGACTTTGAAAGTTTATTGCCATTTCTGGAGAAGTACTGTATGGATCTTTCTTAAATTTCATATGTAGGTCTCTAGTTATGCCTGTTTGAGATTTCTGATCAGAAAAAAAAAGGGTCAACAGGTGGCCATCTTTGATTTTAACTCTGAAAGTTTATCAATATTTTTGGAGAACTATAAGGTAAATTTTTCTAAAGTTTCCTGTGTATGTTTTCCTTGATCCCTAGTTGTGCCTGATTAAGTTTGGTACTGATTAGAAAAAGAAATTGCCTACAGGTCGCCATGCTGGATTTTGACATCGAAAGTTTGTAATTATTTCTTTAGAAAACTTAATTGCATCACATAGTCAATATGACGTAGTATTTTGATCGCTATGCGACTACATGTATCTCCCAAATATGTGACCATTTCCTTGGCATGACAACACCCTTCTTAACATTGAACCCTGTTTTACTCTGCCCTGCAAATTAACTGCATATTGTCATGATTCCAAGGCATGTGGCTTTTAAGGAACTGTCAGTTGACATCTGTATATGATGAAATATCAACAATATCCTAGCTAGGCAACCCTGTTCAAATTTCATGGTCATAGTTCTTTCATTTGTTAAGTAGGTACCCACAATTCAGATAAAAAAAACTTTAAGAGTTGAGAGCAATATAATTAGGTCAGATGTCTCTAGTTACAGGTACTTGAGGCCCTAGTAGCGGGCACTTTGGGAGCCTGGTGAGCTGATATCATCCAGTGTCTGAATTTTCATTTAAATTAATTCTTAAAAAAGAACAAAAGAAGATGTATCATTTGCTCACCAGGCCGTTTTGCAGGTGTTTCAAACTTTTCCTTAAAACAACTTCTTTTCAATAAGTATGTGGTCACGATTTATCATATTTGTCTGATAGGTTTCTGGGATGAAGCCTATTAAAGTTTGCAGAAAGAAATGACAACCCATGATCAAGGTCAGAGGTGTCAAATGTGTTCGAATGTTTCAACATCTCTTCAAACCCAGTTGCACAGGCTCATGATGCTTGACAAAATTTTTTTCTGGATGTTGTTTGTCAGGTAAGTTACACTTCAAGATGAACAAAAAGTGTTGTAGAGCATTGAAATATCCTACCAAAAACTACGCAGTTTCCACACATTCAAGCAATAACAGAACACAATATATATTCCTTTCTATATCAAATTTATTGCTTCTGTTTCATATAAAAAATATATCTGCTTACTGTAGCATAATATTGTAAATGACTTTCTAGCATAATTTTTTAAGTATAAAAAAAACATATTTTCAAGAAATTTACTAAATAATATTTCAAACAAGATTTATTCATTAAGTAACTTAAATTAGCCATAGTATTCATTCATAAGTAAGAATGGCACAGCAACTGGCAAGTTCCACAGTTACTATAGCAATAGAAACCATAATCATTTAAAGGACATTGAGAAGATTTTATACTTGATTCTGACCTACCGAGTTAGTCTGTACTTCACCCCTTTCCTCCCCTAACAGGCACTTACCATTAACTTCAGAATCAAATGCTCCCTTATATTCTGTATATACTACACTGTGTAGTCAATACACAACATTTCAAATCACTTCAATTCCACATTAATTTCTAGTACAATATACAATCATCATGTTGCCATGAGCAAATGTCAGTAAATTATCAGAAAAAGAATGAACAATATATATCACAGTGGATTAGAAAAAAAAATCACTGCTTACATATGCCAGGGAAACTTTCACAGTAGTTTAACTTTCGCACTTCTGTCAATAGGTTAAATCAAAATGGATGTCTACTTAACAATGTGAAATATAAAATGTATCTTTATGTATTTAAGGACAAATTTGCCAGAAATGAATATTCAATACTATATATGAAGGCAAAAAATCCTGAACGAATGTGTCTTCATTGACAGGATCTGAAACTAATTGAATCGTCAATTTTTTTCACAGCGAAATAATCAAATCAAATCAATATGAAATATCACCACCACAATCACAGCTTTACTTGCATGAATACAGAATCTTTTCTCTACAACATTACTGTTTATGATCGAAACACGTACATGATAACTCCTGTGTATTTCTGTTATTGATAAAAGACACATTTACAAATCTATTTTTTTTTAAGAGACTCCAGCTATTGTCATCTGGTTTTCTGCTGTGCATTTACAGCTTGTTGGCCTTGCTGGCTCGTCTGTATTCTAATCCTGCCACTGCACGCCTGTGAACTTCATCGGGTCCGTCAGCCAAACGTAATGTACGTGCATGTGCGTACATAGAAGCTAAGGGGAAGTCATTGCTTAGTCCAGCACCACCATGTACCTGTACAACAGTTAACAGAGTTAGATAAATACCAAACCACAATCAGCAATTTTATTAAATACAGGTTTATATGCATTTTTAGTTAAGTAGTCTCTCTTCCTGGTAAAAAATACTTTTTCTTCTAAACAGGTAACTTGGTAGAATTTGGCATTCTTTACTGCAACTACCTTAGCAGAGTTCTAAAACTCTGTATTTATACAGCAACTTAGCAATAGTGAAATTCTGTACTTGTAAGAAGAGACAATTAAGGGACATATAAACAAACCATCGGAGACAATGAAAAAAAATATAAATTTTCTTCAACAGTACTGATGTATTTCAAGGTATGATATTTCTGGAAAAGGAAGTCACAATTTTGTTTATTGTTAATCTCACAACATATGTACAGAAAATTTTGAAATTATCCTTATTTATCCTATGCAGTTCATTATGATGTAGGTCACATTTCAGTTTTCTAGGAAAGTTATGAAGCATTTTGATGCAACATATTCATCTCATTTAGCTCATGATAACAAGAATTTTATAAGTAGTTGTTTAAATACAAACCTCAATAAGAGACCTGTAATAATTTATGACTACAGAGAAAGAACGACACCGCTGAAACACCAATTCTACTTTCTCTCAGGGTTAATGGTTTTAAAAAAGCAATATCTCCTCACTGCAGTAGATAATCTTAATAGGCACAGGTTAAAGTATTGATACAGAAATAAATTAATGTGATGACACACACAAATCAAAATGTTCACACCGGAGTGAATGTGTTCACACAGAAGTAAGTGTTCACACAGAAGTAAAAGTGTTCACACAGGAGTGAATGTGTTCACACAGAAGTAAATGTGTTCACACAGGAGTGAAAGTGTTCACACAGAAGTAAATGTGTTCACACAGGAGTGAAAGTGTTCACACAGAAGTAAATGTGTTCACACCGGAGTGAAAGTGTTCACACACAAAATAAAATGTTCACACAGAAGTAAAAGTGTTCACACAGGAGTGAATGTGTTCACACAGAAGTAAATGTGTTCACACAGGAGTGAATGTGTTCACACAGAAGTAAATGTGTTCACACAGGAGTGAATGTGTTCACACAGAAGTAAATGTGTTCACACAGGAGTGAATGTGTTCACACAGGAGGAATGTGTTCACACAGGAGTGAATGTGTTCACACAGAAGTAAATGTGTTCACACAGGAGTGAATGTGTTCACACAGAAGTAAATGTGTTCACACAGGAGTGAATGTGTTCACACAGGAGTGAATGTGTTCACACAGAAGTAAATGTGTTCACACAGAAGTAAATGTGTTCACACAGGAGTGAAAGTGTTCACACAGAAGTAAATGTGTTAACACCAAAAAAGAAGTGTTCACACTCAGTATAAGTGTTCACACCAAAATAAAAATATTCACAAAGAAATAGACTGAATTCCTCAGGTAATCTGATAGATGTTCCTAAGAATTTATGACGTACATAAATCAGAAAAGACTTTCTTAACATGTCAGCATTAGAGTATTGAGAATATGAAAGAAATCTAAGATACATTTTGAATAAGTTCCAGCAGAAATGAATACCTTGATACCATATATATCACACAGCTGTTCAAGTAATGTAAGTGAAGTAAGACCAAACCACCTTTTGAATTCCATGTTTACATCGATAAAGACACCAAATAATAAAAAAGAGAGAACTTAAAGGAGGCACAATAAACACCTGTCACACGTTAAAAACAAATATGTTATTGTATCAAAAGGAATACAAAATACAAAAATCGTAGTACTGAATGAAAATGCCCTGGGGTGAAAACAGTACTTGTTTTGATGATAAAGCACATTAAAATTTAATGAGATGGTTAACAGAAATTTGATATTACTGAATACCTGTAATGAGAATTCACACATGTAATCGGGTTTTATATATTGTTAAATTAGTAAAGGAGAGTGCAGAAAATTTTGGTGAATTAAACAGCTGGTAAAATGGCAGAAAGGGGATACACAAACAGACAGCCAGGCTAACAGGGTGAGGAACTGGTGCAGACCTGCAGTGTGGTATCATAGTTTTGATTTCTTGTATTCATATCTGGCCACTGCTCTCCTGTGGACTTCATCTGGTCCATCTGCCAGTCTCAGGATACGTGCCCAAGTATACATACTGGCTAAGGGTAGGGAGTCATCAAGACCTGCACCCCCGAATGACTGAAAGTGGCAACAAGGGAGGTAATCTAACGCCACATACAATATATGTATAAAAATATCATAAAATAATTCATAGAAGTTTGAAGAGGTCTTATATAACTAGAAAATATTTGTATTACATTACCTGACATAAAGAAAAGTTTGGCTTTCCTTTATTTTGTAAATGTTTGATATGACATAGATTTTGAACACATTGTTGGTATCCCATTTACACTATAACTATTTATACCCTGATAAATGCAATGAAAATACAGCTTAATCCTTATATAACCCTAATTCTCTGGTGGAATTTGTAAACTGAGGTAAATAAAAGTCAAATGAACGGGGACAGCTATGAATTTTTAATAGGATATGGTACATGTCTGATTAATAGATAAGCTTGGTGCAGGAAGGTTTAGGCAATGATGTTGATATAGAAGATCCTGTCACAGTCCTTACACTGTTAGACAACATACCTGTATGGCTCTGTCTATCACTTTCACTGCCATATTTGGTGCTGCAACCTTAATCATTGCTATATCTGGAGCTGCAACCTGTAACGCACAAATATTTGAATTAACAATCAAAGATCAATCAACATTTCAGTGAAGTCGTTTTTCATTTCAGTAGATTCAACAACTTTTCACTTTAAGTGTATTCAATGGGAAAATAAAACAAAAAAATATTCAGACTGCATTATGCTGTCACTGAAAGGAATAAATATTGTATGTACTTGGAGTCTAGAAGCTGATATTCTACATTTCAAATTAACAAATACATTTATCATACAAGAAATGAGAACTCTAGTGGAGTGGTGGAGGGGCGGAGTGGTGGAGGGGCGGAGAGGTGGAGTGGTGGAGGGGTGAAGAGGTGGAGTGGTGGAGGGGTGGAGTGGTGGAGGGGTGGAGGGGTTGAGGGGTGGAGAGGTGGAGTGGTGGTAGGGGTGGAGGGGTAGAGGTGTGAGTGGTGGTAGGGGTGGAGGAGTGGAGGTTAGAGTGGTGGAGGGGTTGAGGGGTGGAGGGACAGAGGGGTAGAGAGGTGGAGTGGTGGTAGGGGTAGAGGGGTTGAGTGGTAGAGGGGTGGAGTGGTGGAGGGGCGGAGTGGTGGAGGGGTAGAGAGGTGGAGTGGTGGTAGGGGTGGAGGGGTTGAGTGGTGGAGGGGCTGAGGGGTAGAGAGGTGGAGTGGTGGTAGGGTTGGAAGGGTAGAGGGGTTGAGTGGTGGAGGGGTGGAGTGGTGGAGGGGCGGAGGGGTGGAGGGACTTAATAATTTTTGTTATCTAAAAAGGGGTGGAGGGACACAGGGGTAGAGAGGTGGAGTGGTGGTAGGGGTGGAGGTGGAGTGGTTGAGGGGTGGAGAGGTGGAGTGGTGGAGTGGTTGAGGGGTGGAGTGGTGGAGAGGTTGAGGGATGGAGAGGTGGAGTGGTGGTAGGGGTGAAGGGGTTGAGTGGTGGAGGGGCGGAGTGGTGGAGGAGCTGAGGGGTAGAGAGGTGGAGGGGCGGAGTGGTGGAGGGGCTGAGGGGTATGGAGTGGTGGTAGGGTAATTTTGGAGGGGTGGAGTGGTAGGGACTAAGAATTTTTGCTGAATAGTGAGACACAGGGGTAGAGAGGTAGTTGGTACCAGGTACAAGAGGTGGACTGGATTAAATAGTGGTGGTAGGGGTGGAGGGGTTGACAACAGTGAGAGGTGGAGTGGTAGAGAGGTGGAGTGGTGGAGTGGTGGTAGGGTTGGAAGGGTAGAGGGGTTGAGTGGTGGAGGGGTGGAGTGGTGGAGGGGCGGAGGGGTGGAGGGACTTTGGATAGTGAGACTACAATATTACCAGATACAAGACACTGGATAAAATAACAGACAACACTGTGCATGTAAGATGATCTACTCTGTACCCTTTATATGCAGTTCTTTCTACAGAATTTTTTTGTTAATGTTACAATTTTTTTCTTAAGTTTGGTGTAAGTTTACATTATGAGTGTCAGCCAGATATAAAGCAAAGACAAAGGTTCTGGAACACCATATGTCCTGTACATTGTGTTTATTATTCTACTGTACTTACTATTTCACAACAATTGTATACTATTATGAGAATGCTGAAAGAAACTGTTGAAAATGACAAGCACTTCCTCATGAGCAAGACCTGCCATAGTAAATAACATACTTTGTTGCCAAAATTGTCCATGATATAAGCAGCTCTGAGTGTGAGCAGTCTAGCTTGTTCAATCTCAATCCTGGACTGGGCCACATCAGCTTGAATGGTACCCTGGGCTGCCAGTGGCTTACCAAAGGCCACACGGTCCATAGTCTATTACAAAAATGTAACCCAAAGTCACAATTAAATCATGAACAACTCAAATACCATAGTGTATAGGTCTTTTTTCTGCGTAATTAGTAACTTTGCTGCATGTTTTAACATTACATTACACATTAGCTACCTACAACAATGATTTCTCTATTTTATATATAAAAAACACAAGAGACTAAACAGGAATGCATTATCTCTCCTTGTATTCAAATCTTTTCAGAAATACATGAACATTTCACATCACTGGCATTCAAAGTCATGGTAACTGGTATTTAATTTCTAATTTTGCTTCAATCTGGTTTTCATGCTATAATGTTGATTTTTAAAAATGTTTATACATGAAAAAAATCCATCTCATTTTTAAATCCAATGATCCCAGAGGGATCTTGGTTCCCACCATTGTTTGATCTTTATATGCTCTTCGAAAGTTGGATCTTTTTTCTCTCTTTGAACATTTATTTGCAGAAATAGTGATGATAATCTTTACCTGCCAAATCCAAAATGGCCACCTGAAAGCCATTTTATTTCTTCAGATCAGTCTCAAAATCAAACAAGTACAAGGAGAGACCAAAGGGAACAAACGTATGACATTTGAGATATATTCATTCAGTACTTCTTCAGATATTGCAATAACAATCTTTACTAGCCAAACTCCAAAATGGCTGCCTGTCGGACATTTTGTTTTTCTGGACAGTTCAAAACTCAAACAGGCACAACTTGGGACCTAAAGGAACCTATACAAAAAAATTGAGAAAGATCCTATAGAGTAGTTCTCAAGAAATGGTGATAACAAACTTGCAAAGTCAAAATACAAGATGGTCGCCTGTCAGCCATTTTGTTTTTATGATCAAACCCAAAATCAAATGGGCACAACTAGGCACTAATGGAAACCAACATATGAAATTATGAAAAATCCATCCACTAGTTCTCAAGAAATAGCAATAACAACTTTTCAAAGTAAAAATCCAAGACTGCCGCCTTTCGGCCATTTTATTTTTCTATTACCTTTCAAAATAGTGATAACAAACTTTGTTGAAAGAATACTAGATGACTGCCTGTCAACCATTTTGTTTTTTTTATCAGTCCCAAAATCAAACAGGCACAACTAGGTACCAAGGGAAACCTACATATACAATTTGAGAAAGATCCACCCAGTACTTCTCAAGAAATAGTAATAACAAAAATTGCTTACGGAGGGAGAGACGACGGACCACAGAGCAATTTGAATAAAAAATGTGCAACGACATGCAAATGAAAACAATTTTCTACCTGTTTAACCTAGACCTCCATAACCTTGTGAATTACAATATTTACTAAAACCTAGAAATGTACTTTCTCAATACTTACACGTTTGACCATGAGATCCAGAGCCCTCTCTGCATTGCCTATAAGTCGCATACAGTGATGAATTCTGCCTGGACCCAAACGACCCTGAGCAATCTCAAACCCTCTGCCCTCTCCCAGCAGGATATTGGTCAAGGGTACTTTCACATTCTCAAAGATCACCTCTGCGTGCCCCGCTATTCAAACATCAAATGATACATGATACGAGCAGTGAAATATACATTGGTATTGCACTTATCATACATTTTATATGAAATTTAAATGTTATCTTCCATATTTAGAAGCAAAGTACTCCTGTCAGTCTCCATGATACTAAAAGGCAATTCCAAACAATAAAACTTGATTCATTAAAAAAGGCAATGAATAACCAACCTGGTTCATCCATAAATCCAAAGACAGTCAGTGGTCGAATAATTTTAACCCCAGGTGCATCCATTGGTACGAGGATCATACTCTGCTGTTTATGTTTGCTGGCTCCCTTGTCAGTCTTACCCATGAAGACACACAACTTACATTTAGGGTGGAGAGCACCTGTTAACATTAAAAGGATGATATAGGGAGGAAAAAGGCCTGATGGACCTGTACCACTGATGTGTTCATTAAATTGGACTTTCCCGAAAATATGTCATATGTGATATCCTTTGGCTTATGGACAGATTTGATCAGTTGGTTTGTATGACTTTCCCACAGTGGATCTAAATCATTACCACCTTGTTTTGATCATGGTCTCAAAATCTTATCACAGAATATTAAGGACAGGTAAATTATCATGACTGTTGACCACTTGGTCATTACAAAGTTTTAAAACATTTCAATACATTTCACTCATGCCACACAGAACAAACTTGATAGCTTTTTATCCCAACATACTACTGGCCATATTTAATTCTGAAACAAAGTTGTTGGAAGGAAAAATTGATACAGGGCAGATGGACAACAGATGTTGTGACAGAATAAGTTGACTAATGACCGTGGGATCACTGTAAGTTTGAAGGGAGAAAGGAAAGGTCACCTCCAAGTAACCAAGAAATTGTTGTTTCTTGTAAAAAAGGGCACCTGTGAACAAGTAATAAACCATTACAATGGAGACTGTGGACAGTTGTTGATATATAAGTATACGGTACAGACACATCAAAGAAAAAACAAGATTTCTATGACAAAAAAAATTGGTTATCATAATATTAATGAGATCATGGTCAATTCAATATGAAATATAAACATCTAAGCTTGATAGTAAAACATTGAAGTTTATACTCACCAGATGTCCACCATTTGTGACCGTTAATGAGGTAGTGGTCAGACTTTCTCTCTATGGACGCCTCTATGTTTGTCGCATCAGAAGAAGCCACCTGAAATAGGTTTACAATGTTTTCATATTGCTAGACTGATCAGGATCAGGATACAAACAATACCTTCTGGAGCAGAAATCTCAATAAAATCATCATAAAAAGTATCAGATTACTTATCTGAGTCCCTGTGATGCTGAAGCAGATTTAACCGTTCAGTTATTTACCTGAAATTCTGCCACAAGGCGGCAGGAGACTGGACTTCCCAGTTGGGTTATTTACCTGTGGTTCTGTCATGCCGAAGCAGGACCTGATTTCACCATTGAGGAGTGGAACCAGCCACTGTTGTTTCTGTTGCTCAGTACCATACTTTACCAGTGTCTCCATATTACCAGTGTCCGGTGCAGAACAGTTGAATGCCTGTAACAAATTAACATTTTTGTTGCTTTCTATTTTGAAATAAAACATGAAAATATTGATAATTGTTCACATTCAAACAAAAAAATAAAGAAACTGGAGTGCAGCAGGTAAATAGTAAAGATACAAATATCATTTTGTGGTGCAGTCTACCTTAAAATCAAATGAAAATTTGTTGTATTTTGATATGATAATTCAACTGTATTGTCAATGTTTACAGTTTAAAACACTACAATATTAACATCCTTGTGTGTGATCACTCACCTCAGATGCCCACGCACACTTGCCCATCTCCTCTGCCATAAAAGCATACTGAAGGTTGGTCAGTCCGGCCCCATACTTAATACCAGGGTCAGATTCTAATGGCATAAACAGGTTCCACAAACCTTGGGCCTTAGCTTTCGCCTGAAAAATTAAACACAAGAGGTTTGATATACATGGAATATAGTTTCGTTCCCATACCAAGTGTTGTGCTTCAGAATATTTTCTACTGTAAGATGTTCACATCCAAGGAACAAAGGAACAATAGTTATATCTAATGGTTTTACTATGGAATGAAATGTGTTCCATATACTTGAAATTAACATGTTAAAAAGAGTTGAACACTGTTTCCATGATATGTCCATCTTAATTTTTACCTAGAACAACAGTAGTGCATCCTTGTGGTTTAGAGTGTAAATACCAGTGCCAACATGAACGATAAGAAAGAATTTTAGAAACTGTGTTCTTGTCCAATCAGTTCAGACTTTACGATCTGCATCATCCAGAAAGGAGAAATGCTGAGTAAAGACGACTCCTGCTTTGATAGCGTATGTGATATCTCACTAAGGTCATTGATGCTTTCCTCTGATCTGTAAGGTAGCTGGGAAGTCAATATTTCTCTTTCATCAGTGCTGATTTCATTGTTAGGGTTAAGATCTTTCCCTATAAGATGATAAGAACAAATACATGAGGACCAAGGACACCACAGCTTGTGATAAAAGATGATTTGGTGTTTTGCGTGTTTGGGCGATATGGTCGAGTTTCGATTGAAACTCTTCATACTTAGTGTGCATTCTGAGTGGGAAGACTGACCATAAAATAGATCCTCTATGGATGATAGTGGGATGTTTTGCCATGTGTCATCATCAACGCCAGAGTTTTGAACTTCAGGTTGAGGCTTTCTTTTCTGATAATTCTTAAAACACTTAGAACACATACCAATCTCCTAATCATCAGTAAAGTTATCGCCATCTGTTTTTAAACACCAAACAACCAATTGTGCTGTGGGAAGTCATATTTCAAGCAGATTTCTTGGTTTTGATGTTTCTCCTAAATACAACTTTACAACCTGCACCCACACATCTACCTCTCATTTGAAAACAAACTGTATTAGGTATTTAAAGTCTCTGTCTTAGTAGAAAATGAAGGAAGTTATGTCGAAAGAATGACTGATGATATAGAGGTATATGGGGTATATAATATATTGTTGGAAGATTTGTATAGTAACTATTGGTAATAAAATATGTTGTATTTATTGTCCTGATAATAACTGACACTCATATGCATGCTAGAAGTTGTTACCGGTATATATTAGAAAAGGGACAAATGTACATGAAGGTTTGGAGTGTAACAGGGTGGTCTCCTATGTCTACTTTTGTTCAACAAGTCATTGGGGTGATACACATCAAAGCCAAAAATGAACACTTTGCATAAATGGTGATGCTTCAATCTTTGGGCAGGGTTAGTGTAAGAGATAAAGCTATCTATATGCTAAATAAAATGGACTGAATTTGGAAGACATTCAAAATGTTATCTGTTCACAAAAATTTTCTCAAAATGATTAAAAAATCAATGATATCAGTGGTATACTTACTGTTTTAGTATTTTGGTGTTTAGTTTATGGTTCAACTTTCCTATTTTGTTAAAAGTCATTGGACCTAACTTTGATGACATAAAGCAATGTATCGGTGAGTGGTCTCAGAGGGAAAAAAATGTTTTAGGCCACCTCTATGGGAAATAAGCATTGCTGGGGACCCCATCTTTGAAATAAAATTTCATTTCAAGTTTTTTATTAATCTCCTTTCAATGTAATTGGTATTAGTCTATAGCCTCAGCTTGACATTGTTCATTAGTCTGTAGACTCAGTTTGACCTTGTTCATTTGTCTGTAGCCTCAGCATGGCCTTGTCCATTAGTTTGTAGCCTCAACATGACCTTGTCCATTTGTCTGTAGCCTCAGCATGGCCTTGTCCATTAGTTTGTAGCCTTAATTTGACCTTGTCCATTAGTTTGTAGCCTCAACATGACCTTGTCCATTTGTCTGTAGCCTCAGCATGACCTTGTCCATTAGTTTGTAGCCTTAATTTGACCTTGTCCATTTGTCTGTAGCCTCAGCATGACCTTGTCCATTAGTTTGTAGCCTCAGCTTGACCTTGTTCATTAGCCTGTGGCCTCAGTTTGACCTTGTTCTTTAGTCTGTAGCCTCAGTCTAACCTTGTTCAATAGTCTGTATCTTCAGTTTGACCTTATACATTACATTAAACATAGCCAAATTAATGTAGCATGACCCAACCTCTAACCTACCTTGAACTCCTCCATCATAGGGTTGACCTCCCACTTCTTGTCGGATTTGGAAAACTTATGCAGCTCTGCCTCATTGGGGAGGATTTCCTCATTGATGAACTTTTTCACGCGGTAGTAAATGTCCTTTGGCCTTTCTGGCAGGGCGTCAGGTGTCACTGTCATTAAACCTGTAACCAAGGAAACACTCTTATTTAATTAGTTTTATCTTAGTCATAATTTGCTCTGTATATACTCTGAATTATTCCTGTCCTATTGGTAGACAAATACAAGGATCAATGTTCTTACCCAGTGTCTCATTGCCAGTTGAGGTTGAGTAGTGTCTCTTGTCCCCTTGGTTGCCAGAGTTGGTGCCTGCTGTTGGTGATAGAGTGGGTTTAAGGTTGCTTTTAGAGATAAGGTTCCAGGCATCATCAGCAATCTTCACGGCAAACATTCCGGCAAGTTCAGATTTCGGATGACTTTTCTGGCCTGCATAAAAAGGAGATAAAGAACAGGTTTTAGACATATCCTATTATTATTATTACAATCTTAAATGGTTATATTATCACAAAAGATTAAAATGGTCAGTCATATTATAGATATAGACCAACATCTTTCAGATTACCTTGAATTTTATAAATCTGGACAATATCAAAAAGGGTTTTTAGATGATAAAATTTTTCTCAAGTTGACAGAAGATCAATGCAGTCCAATAAAAATGTTTATTGATGAAATACACATACTATCTTCTGAATCAGAATGTATACACAGTGTACAATAAGGATAAACAACATGGTACACAGTCCAGTAGTTAAGGATGAGCTTTAATTATCTTCATGTCATTCAGCCATAACTCAAACAAGGGAGTGTACTCTTAATGAACCAGGAACAGGTTTATGCTGATAAGAGTTTCTTCTAGTTATTAGTCCCATGCCAGTGAAATCAGAGGGGTGGGGCCAGAGTGTTTGTTGTCATCTGTTGGTCTATTTACTGTCCAGATGTTTCCAGATAATAACTGGAGTAAGGGATGACCAGGTTAGAATCTGACACAATTTTAAGTCATAAGAGTAAGACATCATAAGAGTACATGAAAGCACACATCAGACATACAAGTAAGCAGCACACTGTCTTTTACTAAAAAGGAATTAATTGCACTGCAAAATTGTTTTTCTGTTCAAGAGAAAAGCATTTGAATAACATATGAAACGCTACTCATAGATAAGATCTTTGATGATTATTATATAACAGAACTACTAACACTATCAAATGAGATTTTCCATATTAATAATGGACGGCTGGAAACAGTCTTTTAAAACACAGAGTTAACGAAGCTGATTCATTAAATATCAATATACTGGAAATAGATGAAGATTTAGGGGAACAGACACAAGACCAAGTAGTCAGGATATAAACATATAGTTGTAGAAATGCACATTTTGTGCAGTTGGTAAAAATGGTTGGCAATATTACAGATTGAAAATAAGCTGTGCACTAATTAGTCTTTCTATCATATAGTCTCACACCTCAGAGCATGGCGAGTGGTGTTTAATAGGCAACAAAAATCACCTGTATACAGGTATATGTATATATATGACAAGTCTGGATCCACACCGTCTAGGTCTTCGATAGAACAAATCATAACAAGATTTACCTGAGCATATATTCTTGTTTACAAAATGATAGAAAAATGAGAGTAACACAGAAGTAATGACAATAAAATTCTTTGCATTACCAAGACAATAACAGATGTCCATTTCATATTACATATATAATGTATATATAATGAGTGTCTGTACACTTAGGCTGGTCACTTAGATATGTACTTTTATATATATCAAGGAAACAAATAAACCCTATCCAACCATTTATCTACAATAGAACCCCACAAAGTGCACACAGATGTGCAACATAGCTATTTCATCCAGTTTTGCTATTGTGTAGACAATGTGTGCACAAGGTACATCCTGTAATGTTGTGCGATCCCACAAATGTGCCTATAAAACCAGTGAAAAGTCGTATAAATGGCCAACTCTATATACAGATCATTCAGTCCTTACATCTGACCTACATGTAATATTATAGCATTTAATTATGCATATTCACAATGAGATACAAATGTAAACAACAGACGGCACAGAGACAATATTATAGTCATTTTGCAGAAAACGAAAAGTACTATCTTCACAAGACAATTCTGTGTAGAAGCATTTTTTGAGCCACATGGATGTAGCACTGTCAAACTTACAGGTAAGCTGTACAACACCTTCGGTCCCTCAAACTAACAGCGGATAGATAGATGTCCTAGATTTTGACCCACTGATATCATACTAGCACTATACAGGTGAAGTTAAAGTTGTGATAACTCATATCTCAAGCCAAACTAATAGACAAAGTGTTTTTCTGTTATCATTAGTAAACTAGTAAATATCCTGCATCTTTTATAAATTATCTTGATGGCTGAAGTAGCTAGGCTGCAAAAATCATTCAACATATTAACACCCTTATTAAATTCAGACTTCAGGATTCACCAATTTTCAATTCTTTTCTATCTAAAAAGTTAATGGTCATGTTCAAAATGAACCTGGAGCTTGTTATATCTAAAGTTAATTTGGTGCCTTCCCCTAGGACATGCTTTGTACTGAATATAAATAACTTTCTTACTTAAGTTAGGACTTGTATTTAGTCTACATGTAATAATAACAAAACCACAGAATCTAGATGTTGATGTTCCATCTTCTATGTCATGTGTGCAAAATGTCATCCAAATGGCTGCTAGCCAAAAGTTAAATTCAGCAATCCATCAGAATCAATAGAATGTTTACCCTCCCTAATGTGGCAAAGTCTGTACAAATTTAATTCTCACCAAACTGTTCTATTCAGAAAAGAGAATGAAAAATTATAATCTCAAACAAACCTGGAATGTCTAAACTTAATTCGAACAGAAACAACTGGAGTGACTGTTTAGCATAGAGAAGAAAAAATGAGAAACGCCATTTGTACAGGGAAAGGAGAGTGTTACTGAATCTGTAACTCATTATATTAGTAAATTTGTTAATCAGATCACATTAAAAGGTTTCCATTGCAGTTCCTTTCATGTAAAGATAAACAGTATTGTAAATTATTTCTGATCTGACAATCTCAGCCATCAATCTGTCCACATTATGTGAAGACCATTAGTAAGACTACTAAATGGAGCTGGTGTTCTACTGATCTGAGCATGAAATAATTGCTATATAACCATGACTTTTTATATGTTTTCCTGTGATGTTTTGAGACCTCTCCAAGAAGATTTAGATGAAACACGTGCTATACTATGGAAGCTAGCAAGTGCCTTACTATGGAAGCTAGCAAGTGCCATACTATGGAAGCTAGCAAGTGCCTTACTATGGAAGCTAGCAAGTGTCATACTATGAAACAAGCATGTGCCATACTATGGAAGCAAGCAAGTGCCTTACTATGGAAGCAATTAAGTGCCATACTATGCACCATTACTACATAAGTTCTTTTTTGTCTTCAAATAGAAAAGATAATAAAATGGAGGAGAGTTCACTTCACCATGGCCATGATAAAGTGAAGCTGTTACCCCACTATGTTGTATTATCCTTATGTTATACAAAAGACCAGCAACAACTGTTCTCAAGTGTAACAAAATGAGTAATAAAATGGGTTTAATGGTAATTTTGGAATGGTGTTTATCGTAGAGAGCAGCATCTTAGTTTAAAGTACATCAGGTCAAAAGTCAGTTAATGCTGGACCGAGGAAAAGATCCCGTGAGTGATAGAAAGTGATGCACGCCTGATAACTGGCGGGGTGTGTACCCAAGTGGTGAAGCACCATGGCAGAATATCGCCAGTATGATTGATCAGGACAGAAAGATGCTCTCTTTTGTATGCCTCGCACTGGCGAACATATTTGTAAGTAAACAAGATAAGAAACAATGTATAAGGTAGATCAAAGATGGGAAGTTGATAACGGGTACTCCTAGTCGCACGTGCCTTCATAATTAGATGCTCCGGGGGCTGGGTTATTGTTGTGCAATAGGGACTAGGCTTAAATTAAGTATTTGGGTATTATTTATACAAAGACAATAGCCAGCAGAAGTGTAGTTGAGTCTGGGATCGAGTAGCTAGAGAGAGTTGGGAGGCGGACGTGGAGACGGGCAGAGTCCCGTATGGGACCTGCTCCGCGATGGAGCGGGTCCTGGCCAAGTTGGCCCATGAACCTTTGTATGGAACTCTTTGATATGGACAGGCAGGTGTTTAGTTTTTGTCTGCCTTACACAGGTGTTTAGTTTTGGTGCCATGACATGCTGCTGTATGTTGATTAGGTTCTATCTTTTGTAATGGATACTAACGCGAAGTACTAACTATGGAAAACCACTATACGATGAAATAACAGTTTCGGTCAACCCATGTAAACACTGTGTTTAGTCATTGTGTTACACAAGTACAAATGTTGAGTATTAGCACAAGTTACAACAATGATAACATGTATGGCCTGAGTATCGAGCTTAACAAGTTACTCCTTCCACGGCCACACCAGGATTGACTCTATTTGCTGTCATCTTACAGTTTATCCTAAAGTAATTATAATCTAATTCTGATAGGGAAAGTGTCTTCTACTGATCTACAATTAAACTGTGACCAGTTAATGTCTCACTGGTGGAGAGCACAAATTATGTTCTACACTTGAGTGACAAATTTCACTATTAACATCCCCCTGCCTAAGAAAACTTTTACGGTCTAAAAGTTCAAGAGATAGCAATCTGCTCATGATACTCAGGCTGAGATAATATTTAGTATGTACACAAACACTGGTAAGTTTACTTGAACAACAGTTAATTCTAAATTCTATAATTAACACAGTTCATAAATCTGATTCAGATACTGTTACTTCCTTGGATAAGGTACTTCTGTAAGACTGTCACTGTTTGTTCTTAAGGTATACACATCACAAAACCTTAAAACACATGTCCGTGTTCACATCTGATGATACATCCAGAGTCAGTGTTCCTTTCTTTTTTTTTCTTTCTTCTTCTTTGTTCGAGACAGTTGCCCAACAATATCCATACGTTACAAGTACTACGGTATTCCTGTATGTCCTTAAAAATCCCTGGCCAATAGAACGAATTAACGACACGCTCTTTGGTCTTTTCTATCCCTAAATGTCCCGCAAGTGGTCTATCATATAAAACACGCTCTTTGGTCTTTTCTATCCCTAAATGTCCCGCAAGTGGTCTATCATGTCCCAATTTAATGATATTGAGACGTAGTGCCTCTGGTAGTACTACCTGGACTCCATGTTGGGCTCCATCACTAGACTCCCATTTCCTACGCAGAATCCCATTTTCTCGGTACAGGGCATTCCTATCTTCCTGCACAGATTCCTCTTAACTTGCAGCTTTTCTCCGAATGTTGGCTAAAGTTGGATCTTCCTGCTGAAGCTTACTAAGCACTTCAGCATTTACAGCAGAAAGTTCAAGTGGTTCC